AGTTCACTATGCAAATGTCAAATAGGAAAGTGCTCTCAAGCTATCTCCTCCTGCCTAGTATTGAAGGATAACTGGTTTAAAACCTAATGCTGGGAAAATTATTCCTCATGAACAGAATGCATATGTATCGTATAGCCTCTGTATCACCAGGGCGTGGCTGGCTGAGAGGGACACTATGTAATGGCAGTCAGTGGCTGGAGACTTCGAGGGCCTGCAGTGAGAAGAGTGACTGGGCAGTGAAGAGAAATAGTCAGCGTAAGTTTTACATTTGAGCCCTTATCAGCACCAGATTTTTCTTATTCATTTCTCTGTACTTGTCATTCCGCTACAATCCCACCTTGGGAAGCGCTGCCACAGAGGAACTGTCAGTTTAAGTACTAGTTTAAGTACTGTGTTTCCTGTCCTTCAAAAAAACCTTCAACCAGCTTTGCACTTGGCCCTGTTGAACCTCATGAACTTCACATGGACCCACCTCTCAAGCCCATCCAGGTCCCTCTGGATTCCCTCCCTCCCCTCCAATGTGTCACTCGTACCACAGAGCTCGGTGTTGTCAGCAAATTTGCTGTGAGTGCACCCGATCCCACTGTGCCTGTTGTCAGGATGTTAAACAGTGCCCATCTCAATACCCACCCCTGAGGAACACCATCTGTCACTGGTCTCTACTTGAACACGGAGCTGTTGACTCTGAGTGAAACCATCTACCTGTTCATTATCCACCAAGTGATCCATGCATCAAATCCACGTCTCTCCAGTTCAGAGACAAGGATGTCACAAGGGACAGTGTCAAATGCTTTGCACATCTCCAGGCAGGTAACGTCTGTTGCTCTTTCCTTATCCACCAGCACTGTAATTTCATTGTAGAAGACCGCCAGATTTTTTAGGCATGATTTGCCCTTAGTGAAGCCATGTTGACTGTCATCACTCACCTCCTTACTTTCCATATGCTTTAGCATAGTTTTCAGGAGAATCTGCTCCATGATCTTGCCAGGCACCGAGGCAAGACTGACTGGCCTGTAGATTATGCTCTGTTGAGCGCTGTCAGAAAAGCACATGGAAATGCTGTCCCCAGAACAAACAGAATTGCTGGCCTGGTTTTCTACACCTGGAAACCAGAACACTTGTCTCTCTGGGGCCTCTGCCCAGGTGACACCGTAAATTTTACTCATGTTTGGAAAAAGAAGGTGGGTTGCTTTTGCAGATTTGTGAAAATATAAACTATTGCCTTATGAAGACTGAATCAGCTCTGAAAAGAGCCAAAGAGCTGAACATGAGCCATAACAAGACAGAGAGCTGTGGGATATGTAAGGAAGACAGAACTGTTATGGGTGCAATGAACAGGCTGAGATGTTCGGCGTAAATTCCGTCTGCCTCAAATTCTTGATGTCTTGTTATTTCCTCCTCACTCAGGTTTCTGTACAATTGCTGATCAGGTTATATAAGAATGAAGACTAACTCTGTCTTTTGCTGTCAGGAGACCATTGACTTTTCAAATGAATGCAGTTTCTGTGCTGTTTCGCAGTACAACAAAAGTGGCATTAAAAAAAAATGGAAAGAGTTGCAGTAATATTGATCCACCTCACTCTACCCTGCAAAAATCGCTTTCCTCTGGGTTATGTTTTGGATTACAATTAAAACCATCAGCAGTAACCTCTGAAAAATTGTCTACTGCTGCTTGGCTGTTCACCGTAACTGGGGCTTGTACGCTGCATATCTCTCAGTGCTCAACAGTCAAAAGTTCTGTGCAGCAATTTGAAGTGTCCTCCTGTGAAAACAGCGGCTCTGGTTTTAGAACTAGAGCACTACCATAATATTGTTTTTACCAGCTCAAGGTTCAATTTCAATACAACAATAAATAAAAAACCCCGTTCAAACAGTTCCTTAAAAATACAGTGGTTTAAAAAAGAAACTGCATAGATAGCAAGTCTTCCTGTTTAGGGAAGTGACTAAAGGCCATGCAGTCTCTCCCTTTTGTAAATGAGGAAGAGGAGAAAGAGAGAAATGACAAGAATCAGTCACTGCTGTCCTGAATGATGAAGTTGGCACTCAACATCCTGTAAGTGGCCTGATCTGATCTATAATGTGTGCATGCTGCTCTCAAGAAGTGGGTGCCTGCAGCACTTTCAGGTGCATTAGGGCTGGCGGTTCATTTTCTGATTCACTGTTTTTAGAAGCTGCATAACCAAGTCTACTTTTGTCTAATTAGTGATAACTGTGATAATCTTGATATCTTCTGAGATAATGGGGCTAAAATTTGTATACTTCTTTCAAGGTAAGAAGAGTAGATTACCTTAAAAGCAAAGCCCCCTTGGAATAACAGCAATGAATTCTTGTCATTCTTATGTTATGAATTTGACACATCCTGTAATATAAATAATATTATCCCAGAATCATGCTGTCCAAACTAAGTACTTCCTGGTCATTTGAGATAACTTAAGTAAAACTCTGTGAGCTGGTTTGGGATTGAGAATTTCTTAGAATCTGGCCTCTGCTTCACGTGGGAATGTGGCAATGAGCCAGCCCAACCCAGGTATACGTGAGCTGGAGAGCCCCAAGCAGTCTCTTTTAAAGTAACTGGCTTACCTAAAATATTCTTATTTCAAGCTTCCTTGCAAATCATTAGTAAGTATTGACTTTAGTTTTAGCTTCTGTTTATCTGTAAGAAGCAATGTCTTGAAGCTTCTGTGTACTATTTCCTTCTTTTCATTTTGTACATTGATTTACCAAAGGATATTATGTTGTGCTTCAGAGACTTATTCTCAGAATTTTAGTAAACTGGAAATTTGACCATTATAGGCTTTCAAACTTCAGATTGCACTTGCAATTAATCCAATGGATTTCTCTCATATATTTAATAATTAATAGAAAAGTAATTCTGAAAATGTAAATGAAATTCGTGTCTACCCAGCCACATTGACTTCTACTAAACTACCTGCAAAAAACAGAGAAGGTTATTCTCTGAAGTGTATACTGTTCAAAGTGAGGCTATGATTTTATGAACTGTTTTAAGGTACAGGGTTTAGGTAACTACTTAGGTGGTCTGACAGCCAAATGCTACTGGGAGACTGCTTTCAGTGAGAATAACTACCCACTCACTTTCATATGTGTACAGGGTGAAGCACCTTATGGGTAATTTTTTTTCTTCTGAGAAATAACTAAGAAACCTCAGCAGGAGAGAAAAACTCTTCAGAAGTTGCACTCTCCACATGTTTAGAGTAAGCTACATGTTGGAAGCAGATACATGAGCAGACATATTTGTTGAGAGATGGCACCATGATTAAATGAAAAAATAAATATCAGTTCACTCCCAAGACCTTTAATTTTGCCCCCATCTGTCCACAAGGCAGTAGTATTTGGGGTTTTTCAATTAATTTTCAGCCTTGAATTAGATCACTGCATGCCTGTGGTGCATTTTGGTATACATTCAATAATGTAAACCTGTTATAAAGAATGAACAGCATTTACTGTTCAATAGTTTATTTTAAATATTCTTGGGGTGCTTTGCTTTACCAAGAAAAGGTATGAACTCAAACTCACATGTTTTTCTGGGAGAAGTCCACAATAATTTCATTAGCACTACCACAGAAGCTCATCTGAGTTTACCCTTTGTGTATATGGGAATGAATTTTTAGTTGTCTTTATGGAGAGATAAGAGATACAAGAAGGGAAGGTTATCTGAAAGGAGTGGAAAGACATAAACACCATGAGTGAAATCAAACATTTTCAAATTTAACTTTTTTTTTTTCTTTTCAATTTCAGTGTTGACAAAACTGGCATTAAGTTTGTCTCAGATTGGTTTTCTTTCCCTGAGTTTATCAGTCAATTTTCTTGGATGACATATCCATGGATGGACAGACTGGATATCAGTGCAACATTTCAGCAAAGTTAGTCCAACCCAACCATAGCAGAAATGGCTTTATTTTCTATCTGCTTGTTTATTGGCATTACTACCCTTGAGTTCTCTCAGAGCCCTCTCAGTGCTCTAATACATCACAAATAACATCACCTGATCTGTCAGCAAAGATATGTGACCACATCCCCTCTGTCACAAGCAGTGTCTTTTGTTCCATGCTTGAGAAAATGCTTCGAAATTTCTCTTCCTTTTCTAACCATAATGGGATTTATTCATCACCGTATTAGTCTATTTTTCTGCTGCTATAGGTTGCTCTCAGAGGAGTTATCACTGTTTCACAGCAAGAGGTATCAAATGAGGTTGCTAAGTCATGCAGATGAAAAACAGCCATGAACAGGCCTCCCCATTTGTCTGCTCCCTTCCCAGTTTCTAGCTGTGTAACATCCACGTGGCCTATCTCTCCACGTAATTTCACTGATATTCACCCCTGATTTTTACATTTCTTGTCATTTAGACCCCATTTAGCTGTCTCTGTGATTCATCTTTTTTGTATATCACTTAAAGTTTACTCTCTTCTTCATAGTTCTTTCTATTTAAATTCGCATTCCTACTTGTGTCATTAAAACTTAATTACCATCCAACTGTGCAAAGCATTTTGGGGCAGCAACATGGAAAATAAACTGCAGTACCTTGTAGTACTGTAAATAAGTGTAGTCAAAGATTTGGAAATTGGGGTCTTTCCTAGCATCATTCACATTGCTGGTGTGTCCTTATTTATTTTCTGTACAAATCACTAAATACAGGTGTAAAAATTAAAAACATGTAAATTATGGGGAGAAATTACCCAACTTCAGTGCATGCCAACATTTTAAAGCTGAGGTCATGTACTTTTAATGGTGTCTGCCAGTATCCTACTGCTCCCTCCAATTCCCATTTATGAATTATCAGGCATGGATGGATAAACACAGCTGAGCATAAGTTAACTCTTTCCCAAACTGTGGGCCAGCCATTGACAATTTTGATTTTGAGAGCCTGTCTGTTGATTTTAGATTTTGCTACTTGTACAGCTGATTTTCAGAAAAGCAAACAAAACACCCATTTCAGAATTTGCTTTATTTCTGCAAACAATACCTTTGTCTTCCCTGCCAGTGCATGTTCTTGTCACATGTCTTCTCTGGGAATCTCTTTGAGGTTTTGGATCTTTGATGAAGAAGGGATGAGGCTGTACAACATCCTTGTCCATTCATTCAAGCTCATGTTGGCTTCCCTTTCACCGCTGAAATTTCATAGATGAGTAATCCCTCCCAAGATAGCCAGTAGCTTAAGGATGTTTTGGCTTCCTGATTCTTCCTGCTGATAACAGAGGAATTGCAGGAGTTTAAAAATTTGTCATATCCACTTCTGTGTGTAACAGAGGCAAAATGGGGAAATTCACTCCAGTTGCCTGCTAAAATCCAGCTTTAGAAGAGCTATCCTTCTATTACTCAGCTACGTTTAGGTCATATATAAAAAATGCCAATTAAACAACCTAGTGGTTAAAAATTGACAGGGACTGACAAACAAAAAAGATACTGACCTTTGTTTTCTTATTCTGAGCTGCTCATTGATTCTTTCAAATAATGTCAGGGACAAGTCTCATTAAATTTTTCCATTCTGTTTGAGAAGAGGGTGTAAAACAAATTCCTCAGCATGTTAAGAGATTACACTAAAGTCAATATTTCCTCTTTGGTCAGGTGGGTCAGTTTTGGAATCAATCCAGTTTACTTTTATAACTGAAAGCCTTTAGAGGAATTTCTACCCCACCCAGCCAGCTAGCACAGCTTTGTTTGATGTTTTGAACCCTGCCTGGCTCCAGCAGATAATATCCATATTTATTGATACAGAGCTCTGGTGTGGCTATGACCATAAGCTCTTTGTGGTCAGCAATCTCAACCCAGTCACGTGCTGAAGGAAGCAGCTGACTGGCCTTTACCTCCCATTACATCCTTTAGTATGAAGGTGATATCTTTCTACAACCAGTGCGTACAGAAAAGATGCAAACAGGTGACTTCAACAGGCAGGAAGGAAGGGAGAAAAACGAACCCGAGCTTGCAAGAGAGGAAGAAGGCTGTGGCACACTGTCCTTGCTTTCTAATATCTTCCACTTAGAATTTTATCCCAGTCCTGTGAGCAGCAAATCCTGTCTGTCTCAGATCCAATGAAAGGGCTTATGACTGCTTTAGAGAGTAGGACTAGAAAGTCATGTTTAAAACAAATAACAACAAATCAAAGGGATATTCATTTAACAAAGCAAAGTTTGCCAGCAAGAGTTTTCCTGTGGATAAGCTATACTAGCGTTTGCCAGCTTTGCAAAATCAACCAAAGGTCTATGAGTCATACTGGCTTCTTTTCCATATTGCAGGAACACCTCTGTGTTTACCAAAGACTTCAGTTGCTACTGCAGCATCACGCCCTTTTGTTTATGTCCTTTGATGTTTACGAAACTTTGTCTTGAGCCAATGACAAAGGTTTTATATTTTTTCACCAAAAATATCAGCCCATGTTTAAAAACAAAACAAAAAGCCTAGCCCTTCCCTTCAAAGAGGCCAACTCAAAAACTTCTGAAACAAGGATCTTTAAAACCTGTATCTTGTTTTGTCATGTTAAAAAAAAAATCATGGGTTTCTGTCTAAAGTAACTTCCTGTATTTACACAAGTACCATAGTTAAAAGTATGCAGACAATATCATTGACATTGACATTTTTGCTTCAAAACCTACACATATGCTCATATATATTTATATACTGTCCAAACAGAGGGGTATCTACATGTTGTTGTAATGAGAAGGATAACAATAGGGTTTTTTTAAAAAAAAAAAGTTAGATGGATTTATTTCCCTTTTTGTCCCATCTTATGACTAAAGTAACTTTCAAATTGTACTTACTAGTTCATGTAAAACTGACCAGATCTACTTTGAATTATCATTGGAATTCACACAGTTGAAACCTATTAGAGCTAAATAAAGAAATCTGCCAAGCAAAGGCTTAAACGAGAGCACCCAGTTTGGCAGGAAAAAATCATATATAGTCTCTACTAAAGGTACCATATTTATACACAGCCTTGGAGTTATATAAACTTGGGCATTAAATTCACTGCAAAAAATCCAAGCAGTCCTGAGGCAGTGAAATCCCCCAGAGAACATCATTGCCCATTTCCAAGCACAAGCTTTAATCACAGAATCACTACCTGCTTGTTTAAGTGCACTCTGATGCTTAAACACCTTCACTTATGTCCTTGCCATAAGCAAAGTCTCTGCTGCTTCAGCACCCAATCTCAGCCCTCTTAGACAGCCTGGGAATGAGCACATTTCAGAGTGCCAAACGGCGAAACCAGAAGCAAATCTGTAAAACACAACTGACCACACAGATGGTTACAGCGTAAGTACATCAGTAAATTCAGAGCAGAAGAGAGAGCTTCAGTTAAACAGGTTATATTTGAGATACAGATGAGGAAATTATGTATTAAGGAAAGAAATGCCTTCTATGTGATTCCCTGATATTTCACTTCAGCAGCTCTTGTTAGTGCACTTCTGAGCAAAGCTTTCTGAAGTAAAGCTCTTTCACTCCTAAGGAATTTCGTAAAATCCTTCTGGTTTGGCAAGTCTGCATTGACACTAGCTATGTCCTGTTAGCTGTTCTCTACCTCAAGGTTAATTCTGCCAAGGTTAACTTTTTAGCAAACTGATTAATACTTGTTGGTCATTGTCACACAAGAAATGGCATTTCTGACTTTTTTTCAGGCTCTCAGAATTCCTGAAAGGTAGGCAGAGAAGCTAGAAAAAATGTTTTAAAGAACAGGAAAGAAAATATACAATGTAACATGTGCCACAAACCCAGCTACGTTGGCGTTCACACTGCCTTAAATTCTGATTAAATCTTGGACAGATGGTTTTAAATAAAGAAGGAAGTTAATGTTTCAAGCCATTATCTTGGCTTTTTCATAAGATATCAATATTTCAAAAGTAAGAAAATTAAGTTGGGTTCTTCAACCAAAAAAGCTGAATTTGGCAGAGGGGTAAAACTTTATTTTGTCAACAAGTAGTGACATTTTTCTCCTACTTAAATAACAGAAGGTTTGTGTACAAGTTCAACCACTAGCTTTCTAAATTAATTTCTCCCAATTAAAATATTTTTCAGTATTATTGTTCCTGACCTCCAAAGAATACTCACAAGACTTTCACTTCTGTTTACAGTCAGTGGCAGTATCAGGATATAAGAACTAAACCTGTGTGCAGAATTACTAATTCTATAGCTTTGGGTTCTGGTTGGTTGGTTGGTGGTTTTTTGTTGGTTTGTTTTTTTTTTTTTTAATGGGGGGTTAATAGTTTGTCTAAACAAAGTACTTTTCTGTATACATATATATGTTAACCTTTTGTCCCTCACATGCAGTTGGATTGCTATAAGGGAGGACAGGAAATTAGTGTGGGAGATCTCACAAATTCTCTCTAATCTCCCCCTCTTTAAGCCTGCATCTCACAGCTAAATCTTGGCACCATACCCTGTCTCTTACTTTCTCATCTGCTGTGCTGACACAGCCAGCTGACTTCAGCTGGGCCTGCTGTCCAAATGCATCAGGACCTCAGGGCCCTGGAAAGAGGTCACAGCATTGTACTGGAGCTGGAGGTGTGCTGCTAGACAGGACCCCATTGTGAGACAAGCTCTGCTAGAAGATACAATCTGCTTTTGCAGCATTATATCCAAAGTCCTTCTGTATTACATATACATATAAAATAATTCCCTTCCTGCAGCCCAACGTACGAGCATGCACCGTGCAGTGTTACTCAGCAAGGAAGTGAGCTGTGAGAGGAGAGGGGGAAAAAGACAGTTCTGTTCTAAAAGCATGGTAATATATCACTCTTTTTGAAGCTTGCAAAGGCAGTCTGGATTCGTTGCATACATTTGTATACTCTCAAGCTCTCAGCACTCTTGCAGTGCTGGCTTCCCTGCAGCACAGAAAGTTGCTCCACGGGCTTTACAGGGAAGCAGACTTCTCAGCTGCATGCTTTTCACAGTAATGCCTGATCTAATAGTTTTTGGTTGGGTTTTTGAACCTGTGTTATAGAAAATCATACCTTCTTTTCTTCAAATATTGATGTGCAGGCAGCTCTTGTACCAAAACGTCTGGTTAAAACTACTGAGAAGAAACATAAATGAAAGATACAATGTACAACTATTGGGAAAATATTCTAGATACAAACAGGCTTTTCAGTGTATCAGCAGAAAGCCATGAGCTGACTAACTGGGAAGGTTATAACCTAACTCAAACTACAAATTAGACTTTCAATTGTTAGCAGGGAAGGATACTCAGATGTCTAATGACCAGTATCAGAGTGCTGGAAGGCCTCTTAATGGTCCCTTCTAGCTTAAAAATTAACAGATACAAGTTAGAGTGGGTAACAGCTGGAACCCACTAACACAGAGATTTGTTTATTGGTACACTTTGGTTGGGTCAGTCTCTGGAAAGTATCTGTGTAGCATCAGCACATCCACAAGGCAAAGCTGCCTTCAGAGCAGCTTCCTTACCCACCAAGTTTTCTAAACACAGTAAAACCAGTACAAAATCAAGCAAACCTTAAATTTTAAATGACCTTTCTGTATTAAACATAGTAATTTCTATTCATCCATTGCAGTGCTTTTACTAGAGTTCTTAATTTCTTTTTCTTTTAATGAGGTTTTACATTATTGGAATTTTACACAGAAAAGCTAACAAATCCCATTTGCTCTATTTTATTACTGAGTACAATTCACTCAATATAGTCAGAAGGGGAAAGATACAAAACTTTGTATTTTAATTCTATTTTGCAGTCAATGGATTTATTTCTAGACTGAACGGCAATACAAATCAGTCACGTCTAGTGATCAACAGTGGATATTGTGGTAGATGTCTAATGACCAATGTCAGAATCAGATCTGTATTTTATTTGCTGTGCCAAGAGACATTCTAAGAGATAAAGGACCTGCTTGGAGGAAGAAATCATTCAAATCAACATACAAATGATCTAGTGCAACAGTTTGGTAATCATAATCACTTTATTAGTCCCTAAAACTTGATATAAGCTACTGACTTTGGACTAGTAGTGTTTGAATTCTAGTCATGGATTCAATAGGACATATGGAAAAAAAATGAAGGAAGGAATAGAAGTGTTTTTTCCCTCAAAATAAATACTAGAGAGAGAAAAAGTCGTCGGAGATTTGAAATTAGAAATGGACAACCACGGGGTATGGCTTGGATTTAAGACAGGACTAGGATATGATTGGATAGGATTGGATTCTAGATCTGCCAGGCCTGACTTAAGGTAGTACTGGTGTGAATCATCCGGTTTAACAAGGGAACAGTTTTGGAAATAATTAGGTTAGTTCAATTCAAGAATATAAGAGAAAAAATGTGTGCCTTCTTAACAAATAAGGGAGAGGTTGGTTTGCCTCTAGATTGAAGCCCACTATGGAAACACCAGTTATTTTTGGAAGAAAATGTGGCAAAAATCGTATGCGAATTTCTCAAGAGAGAAAAATGAAGCAGCTTAAAACTTACTTGAAACGTTCCTAGAACCGTGCCTCAGCCTTTTGACATGCTTCTTATAAATAACCATTGCAAAACACGCTGCTCTATTTTAAAATATGATTTGTTGTGAAAGACTCCCACTATATTGTAGGTCTTACGTTATAAACCAAAATGTCCCCTGATCTAGTGAGGTGTTGGATCTAGTGAGGGGCGTTGATTTGTATAAGGCTGGGGGGGAGAGGGGTGTTTGGGGGGGTTGTTTTTTTTTAGCTCTGTAGCTGTTCTATAGGAATGAAGTGTGTCGTGACGAGGGGCTCCACCTCGGAACGTGGACACGTTTATCGCCTTATCAGGTTTTCATTTCATGAGAAAGCCTGGCAGGATTTTCTGGAGTTAAATAAACGGGGGGTGATGCGATTCTCGCCCTCGGAAGGTACCTCGCTACGGAATGCCCCGTTCTTGCTGACGAACCCTCTCCCCAGGCGGCTGCAGAGGCGGCGGCCCAGGCCCGGCCCGCAGGCCCGGCTCCCCCCGAGGCCCGGCCCGCCCTCCCTCCGGCGGGGCCCGGCGGCAGCCCCGCTCCCCGAGGCCCGCAGGGCTGTGCCCGGGGCCGTCCCGGCCCGCGGCCATCGCTCGGCGTTCGCCGCCCGCCGCCGCAGCGAGGGGCGGGCAGGGCAGGGGCGCTACGCCACTTTCGTAGCGCCGGAGCAGGGGTAGGAAATGGCTCCGCCTCGGGCCGCGGGGCCGCGCGGGCAGGGCGAGCGTACGCGGGTCTGTGAATAGCGGCGGCGGAGCGGCGGGAGGAGGAGGAGGAGGAGGAGGCGCCGC